CTGAAAAACACACTTGGGTGTAAACGTGCATATAACTCCTTTATAGCAGGTGTCTGTAAGACAGAAGATTGAGGCCAGGAAGGCCAGTTTGCACTATGACTGCTAAGTAGCCCACCTGCAGAAGACCACTGTACACTGCTGGAAACTGCTGTTGCAAAAGGATTCTATCTAGTTTCAACTCCCTTCCTGGAAGCGATCAAACCCTTAGAACTTTTGTTCCTGTTATTCAGACCAGAGCCCAACTCATGCCATCTAGTGGTTTTTAACTGCAGTTGCATGTTAACGTCTTTACAGATGCTTTCTGCTGGGAAATATTCCAGTCCTTCTTCATCTGCAGATAGTGTTCCAAAGGCAGGAAGATACATGAGGAAGGAAAGCCTACCAATAACGTGGGAGCCTCTCAAAAAACTGTGCATCTTTAATGGTATGAGGGATGGGGGAGGTTTGCAGTTTATATCTCTCTGTGTCTGGAATCAAAGAGGCCTTATCCAATGAGAGCACCCCTAAGAGCTTCACAGATGGTCCAGGGCCATGACTCTAGGGGTTGGTAGTCTGTCCCCTTGTGCACAGGTGACCATATAATCATTATACTGTGTCCCCATTAATCCTCCCCTGTTAACATGATATCATCTATATTAACGACAGTCTGTAATGAGAACAGAGAGGTTCCAAACCACCATGCTTATGACAGTAGGATGCTATTGATATCTCTGAGACAATACCTACAGTGGCCATTGTATTACATCCCAAGAGAAGACAAACTGGTTCTGTCTGTTTGTGAGGGAATATTGAGAGGAGCATCAGTTAAGTTCAGACAGCACTTACAGAACCAAGAGAATGATTTTTTTTCTACTACTCTAGTAATGTTAGGTATTGCAGCATGAATAGGAGATCCCACCACATCTCCCTACAGTCAAAGTCATTCTCAAATTTCCATCCTGCCTTTTCACCACCCAGACTGGGCTATGGTAGGCATGGTGGGTGGGTGGCAAATCCTAGCATGCCTTGTAATTCTTATATGGGCACTCCCATCACAGCATGTCACCTGAAAATTTGTGTTGTCTGGTATTTATTACCTGCTTAGATGTGGGAAGGTTAACAGGGTCCCACTCTTCTTCCTTTCCTGCCTGAATTCTGGGTTAAAATTACCCCCACATTAGTCTGTAGTATCTTCCCTAATAGAGTAGTTGTCTTTGGTACATTTTTGGAGACTGGGGAGATTGGTAACAAATATGTAAGCTGGGAGGTGCACTGCTGCCTAGATAAAACCATCAATTAACTGTCCGGGGCCCTGGAGAGCATTCTGAGTGGTAGCTCATCAGTATATATTTAGCACATTTATCTATCAGATCTTATACTGGAAGGGCCAGTAAATAGTGAGTCCGCCATGAGGCCTCTGATTGCTCCCTACAGCCTTCACTCACAGGAGGGGAGCAGGGAACCCATTCCAACAATTGGCAATGCTGGAGGGAGGAAATTCCTCACCTTCCCCTGAGGAACAGCAGGAAGCAAAGGTTGTTCTGGCTTGACCTCCTTCCACAGGACCACCAAGGTTCCACTTGCTTGCAAGCACGTCCTCCCACCTGTGCTTTCTTGGACCAGCCCTCTTCTACTCAGTATGCTTCTTCCTGCATCTCTTTGGTGGGAAGGTGCACCCAGGCCCAACCAGACTTAGTCTCAGGTTAGCAATGGCCTTGACTACATTCTAAGAAATCTTGCCCACCCTCTGGGCTGGGGAGGAAGAGAAAGGAACTTGAGGGGCATTTGATAGTTTTTTTCTTTCTGGGCACTAAAAAAAGAAAAAGAAAATCTGATTTATTATTCTGTGGTGTGCCCATTTCCCACAGAATACCTTGGGCTTTGTCAGTGATTTTTCTATGGGGAAAGGGACAGCTGTTCTGGTGGATTGATCTTATTTAGACATGACTCTCATATCCAAGAAGATCCACTCTGTAAGAAAATGATTTCCCAGGATCTGGCAGGCATTATATGTGCAACTAGATGAGGGTTTAAATGAACAGTACCATTGCTCACTTTTCCAGCTTTATTTTCTGACAGAGAAATGTCACTCCTTCCCATGTCCCAGACTCACTATCCAGGCAATTCCACTCACAAAGCAGTTGGTTCCAAGTTTTTATAACATTTAGAAAGTCTGCAGTGGTCCTGGTTTCTGACATAGGAGGCACTCTTCACTCTCCTGAACATTCTGTGTCTTTTCCTTGTACTGAATTAACAGAGAGGCAAAAAAGCAAGTGCCATAGGAAAATGTCTTCACTCCTCTCAAGGTTCCTAATGTTTTACATTCCATTCTGATTATGACTGCTCAAAACTAATTGCTCAAACTTGTTTTCTCTTGCTGTTCTAACCCCCTCAGTGAAACCAAGTGAGCAAGGATCTCTAGATTGGCATTTCTGGCAGGGAAGACCCTGAGATGAGACAGGCTAGAGGGTTGATATATTTTAGACACATGGCTTTTTCCAAGCTGTAACTTTAGCTAAAAATCTTTATATTCTTATCTGCAGCTAAATGGGCATCAACAGCCACCTGAACTGCCCATAGCAACACCAATCTCCCTGCAATAGCAAGATGCCAGCCTTTCTTACATCAGTGGGGTAAGAGGTATTCAACAAACTGCTGCTCCAAACAAAAGCAATTTGGGGATGTGCCCATACTCACAAGCAGGCCATGGAGCATCCAATACACAAGCCACACTTCCTTCATGGATTCAGATGACTAACTTAGGATTTCTCCTTTACTCATTTTCTTGGTCTATTGACTGGTTCATTGATTGTTTTGGAACAACTGTCTTGGTATATGAGAATGAGTGCCATAGTGTTATGTAACAAGAAACAAAAAACAGGACCAGCAAGATGACTCTTCAAGTAAAGGCATTTACTGGTGAAATTATTAAGGCCACTCCACATAGTTAAAAGGGAGGTTTATTTAGTGGCGTAACTTACAAATGAAGGGATAGGTAGGTTGCAGGGTCTGGGAAAGACGCAGCGCAGTCCAGCAGTGTTCTCTGGAGAACCCTGCTTGGTCTACCTCCAGTGTCCAGGGTCCAGGAATCAAGAGAGATGGCGCATCCAGATCTCAGGTTTTCAGGGTCCTCTCTTGGCCCCGCCTTGTAGGCGTGACAGTTACCGAAGCCTCAATGGGGGTTGGAACTTCCAGATCAAAGCTGGAATGGCTACCCACTACAGGCATTGGTCACCATACCTGACGATGTGAGTTCAATCCCTGGGATCTATATACATGGTGGAAGGAATCAACTCACCTGCTGCCCTCTTATCTCTGGCATGTGTCCCCACAAACACAAAAAACACACACACACACACACACACACACACACACACACACACACACACACACACCTTTTTTTTTTTTTTTTTTTTAAAGATTGCAGTTTATTGGGGACTTAATGACAAAAGCAGTCCTGATGACATCCAGAGTTGGTGGAGCCTCATGACAGAAGAAGACACAAAGACAGAAGCCTCTAAAAGTAGTCAGAGCAAAAGTGACTTCATCCAAGCCAGAACATACCTGGTTTACCTTAAGCTAGTATCAGATAGACCTGTTCCTTCATGCCAGGTTCTAGTCATAGAGGTCAGCCATTGCAGGGAAAATCAGTGTTATTCTGGGCAGTTATGGCAACATATGGCTATGGTCAGGTCAAGCTGAATCCATGACGAGTTCTAATGTTAACATTAACTAGTGGCTAACCAGAGGGGGAGACAGTGTCCATGGAATTCATCCCCAAAAGGTTCTGTATTAAATAGCTATTTAGCATACACAGTTCAGATCAAAGAAAAGGATAAAGGCATTGAGTAAATATAGAAAGCAGGATATCCATTTCTGAGAATTTAAAGACCGACACAAACATGCAGCTCTTTCTGAGTGATGATGAGGCACTAATAGTGATATACTGGAGCTAAGGAGAGTACTTGGGAGGCTGATGCAGGTGGATTGAGGAGTCTGAGACCACCTTGGCCTACACAGTAAGACATGGCCTTAAAATGACATCCCCACAAAAAATAAATCAATCAATAATTTATTAAGGTAGAGCTGTTACATCAAGTACCCAGATGGCTTTGCAATCTAGTCTCTGTGGTTGGGTGAGCATACTTGAGTTTATGCGCCTGTTGACACTAAGTGGTTGCTACTCACAATAGCTGTGCCTAAGTTTGGATAACTTTTAGACTTTTACCAAAACCACCCACTCTTCTTCCCCAAGTTTGGATAACCTATCTCTTTATGGTAGAATATTACCAAACCCACTGCAGACTTCTTAGTGAACAGCTTTTCTCAGCTCCTTTTCACTAACCCCAAACCTGGGCATTCTTTTCTTCTCTCCTCCTTATTCAGTTCCCTTCCTTCAAACTCAGTCTCCCATTCCTCACCTTTCACAATAAAATTAAACCCAAATACTGCCTGCCCCAGTACCAGCATACATTACAGTCACTGGCCATTTTTAGAACATCCCTATGTATAATCCAACCACTCAGCGACCTCAATTATGATAACCAAGTCTCTCACAATAGAGAGGGCTTAGACATCCGTTAGCCCAAAGCTCCACAAAGGACTTTCATACAAGCATGCATTTGAGTAGTCTTGGCCTTTTATGCCCAAGCAACCTGCATATCATTTCACATAATTCTTATAACCTCCAAATAGGCAATCCAGGGTAGCAGTCAGTACAAAATATTCTATTTAATTTTCAACATCCCCTAATCTCTGAAGTTACTGAAGTTCCCCAGGATGCAACTTTCCCAGGAAAACATTAACTTCATGTCTGTGATAAATGTTAACCAAATTAATACATCTAAAGCACCTAGATTAGCGCCTGGTACATAAACTGCTCTTCAAACATTTGCAATTGCTGGCTGTAGAGTTGAGGACAATTCAGACATAGCTAGGAATAAAACTGAAATCTAAATTCCGTTATCCCAAACGTGAAATCGACGCAACTTCTGTGACACGAAATAAAAAGCACAACAGGCTGAAGTGTAAAATGGAAGTATTTTATTGTGATTCCATATAATAGAAACCATATTACCTAATCTGCCTAAGCACACAGCAAAACTGAGTCAAAAGTAGCAGTACTAGTGACTCAAGTATTCATTCTGAATGAAAAGAGGATGGTTTTAACCGATTGAGTTTTCAAATGTAATTTTGCACTGATTAGAATTAGTGTGTTCTCTTAAACTTCTGTATTGAACAACAAATGACTAGGTATAGTTTATTCACTGGTACTAGGTTTGAAAAAAGCTTACAAACTTCCCTTTTACTTCCTGTCTTTCCTGTTACACTTGCCTCATTCTATCACCACACTGAATTCCTCTCATTTTCCACATCATTTCCAGGGGAATCTTGAGGGAAATTAATCTGTCTTCCCTTGAAAGCATATGGACAATCCCAATCCCCCCAACCTCCATTCCATCCTTTTGAAATGTGTTTCTTTTTGGCATAATAGAACAAAATACTAGTAGCATTTTGAAAATCTAAATTCTGGCTCCTTGTACCATAAACTACAAACAATTCAGTCACATGTTCTTTAGACATCCACCTTAACTACAAGAATTTTTATTTGCTTGGTCCTTTGTCATTTATTGTCACCACTGTCCTGGAACTCATACAAGGTGCATTATACTTTTATAGCAATTAAGTTACAGAGAGGCCAAACAATACAGCCAAGAACTCACAGGTATAACATGCCATATTACCTCATCTGAGATTCTGTTACTGGAGTGTGTTATGCTCCCGAGTTTACGTGAATGAACTGGTAATTTCCCTTGTCCTTCACGGACTGTATTTTTATTTTTGCTTGCTACATTTTCTCCTAGAATGAAAACAGGTATAAACATCTGACCATGGAATTCAGATCCTTTTAATGTTCCTTACATATTTCTCTTATTTCTAAATTAGAAGTTATTTGTTCAAATAGTTCTAAGTACTACCCATCTCTCCAAAAGTTACCTCTTTCTATTTGTCAAAAGAGAGACTGCTGACCTGTTACAGAAAGTTATTTTCTACTTAAAACCAATTCAAAACATAAAAATTCTTGAGAGTAGTAATAAATATTTTTCTGCTTTTGTACTCAGTTCTCTCTCTTTCTTCATTTGAGAAATAAGTCACCATGTCTCATTGCTGAGAATCTCTTTCCCTAACAAATGCCACTCTTACAGGAGTCAGGAGGGCTCTTGCTTCAATGTCTCCTACAAAGAATAAACAGTCCAAAGCTGGAAAGTGTAACTTAATATTAAATGATTTGGGCCACAGGACCAATTTAAAAGCTCCTGTGTCTAAAATGACACATTACCTCTCTTACTTGTAATTAATTTATACATGGGATTGGCCATGCTGACATATACCAAGGAACTACACATACATAAATTAAAAAAGAAAAGAACATTCTATGAACAATCCTGAAGAGGTCAAAGAGCACTCAAAGTAGGGGCATTCAGTGCACAGTAACCTGTATAATTTAATACACTAAAAACAAGGACACAGAGCTTGGGAGTACACATAGGATGTTGTTTTACGATTTTCTTCATTTTGATGGTATTGCTTTCCTGTCTTCAGGAGGGAAGATCTTGACTTCAAAAGTAACAAAATATTTCAGAAGGGAATTTACATCTTTCAGTTCTAAATAGTACTCTTGGGCAATTTTCTCAGCAGTCCACGTTTCTGGAGAAAGTTTATGATTATTGAGAAGTGTCAATGCTTCTACAACAGAAATTTTGCCTTTGGGAATGTCCGTGACATTCTTATCCAAGTGATGTCCGATGGGAAGTCTGAATTCCTTCGGTTTTTGCTGTAGTTCACCATCTTTTACCTAGTACCAAAAAAAAGGGCTTTAGGATAGAAGATTTACATCTCCCATGAGTCTGAAGTCTATACTGTTTCTTTTCATATAAATCCGTACATAACTTCCTCAAACTGTATTTTCTCATTGTAGTTGTCTTTTCCTAACTATAGCTTGCTCGAGGAAATGCTCTGTAAAATTGTAAATGAATGCATGTCATGTACTCACCTCCACTGAGCATTATTAATCTCAAAATGTGAGATACAAATGCTCTAAAATCTAAAACTTCTGAACTCCACCATGATGCCCCAAGTAGAAAATTTCACATCTAACTTCCGTGATGATCAGCAGTCAAAATGCAAGTACACTAAGAATAACCCCTCAACTTGCCTTCAGGCTTTGTAAGTTGTATATGACATATAAATGAATTTCATGATTAAAACTGGAAACTACCACAAAGATGCTTCATAATGTACATACAAATATTCTAAAGTCAGATCTGTACAACTTCTGGTCCTAAGCAGCTCAGGTAAGGAAACTTCAACTTGTATATTAAAAGAATGGGAGTTGATTAGATTAAAGCGGCCCTGTTTCAGAAGAGCAGCATCCTACAATGCTGTGATAGCTTACTTGAAAACTTTTCCATCCTTCCCTCACTGATGAACTGTTACCTCGATGTCAGAGGAAACAAATCTTTTCTTCTCCTAGTTGCTCTGGTCAGTCTTATCACAGCTCATCACCTAAGCTGTTCCAAGCATTCCCTTTTTCTTTTCAGTTTCAACTGCACCTGCCAACACACTTCTTGGCCAACATATGAAATTGTATCTTCACTACCTTTTTAAAACTCTCCAACCCAAAGCCTCTTTAAATCAGTCCTGTAACTAGAGTTAAAGCTAAAATGATAAATCTGCCCTAATGACCCCAGCTGCTTTATTCGGAGGCACTCTTCAGAAATCACTTGAACTAACTACAGCAGCTCACCATACCTGACTCAAACTGCTGGCTCTAATGCACAAATCTCAGCTTCCTTGCTAAGTCTTCCCCAGATTTCCATCCATACTTCCAGGTTTCTTCCATTTTCCTAGTGGCTCTTGTCCCTTCTGCTGCTCATTAAGTTCCAACTACATTTTGTCTTTACTTTTTTTTTTTTTTGGGGGGGGGGGGGTGACAGGGTGTCATGTATGCTGGGCTGGCCTTGAATTTCTGGATCTTCACTCACTCCCTACCTCCCATTTTGGCCCACATGTAATGATATCAAAATCTGTGGCTCCAAACCAAGACCTTTCTTTGGGTATTTAAGCCCCAAATCCCAAATGCCTAATGGGCATCGCTACTTGGACCTGTATACACCTCAACTTCAGAGTGTCTAATACTGAACCTACCAATCTACCTGCTTCCAAGTCCATGTTTAAAACTCTGTATCTAATCTATGAACAGATACTGTTCATGTTATCTCCCAAGTCTCTCTTGATCCCATTCTCTTATCTTCTATACCACTAAACCACCCTAGACCATGCCAGGGCCATGTGAAGGAACTATCAAAAGACATCTAGCAGGTTTCTTCTAACTAGATAATTTTGTTCCCTCCTAACTCACTCTCAAATCTAACACTACTTTTTCCCCACATTAAACTCTTCAATGACTCTCCAAAGCCCTTCTGATATAACTACATCTGCTTGGCATGCACTTTCATGATCCAGCTGTAATCCAAATCCTTCACTTTCCCCTGGCCACGTACACTCTAACCAGTCTCCAGACCACCACCCATTCCACTTTCACATTCCCACCTGAGACTCCCACTCATGAGTGCCTTTGACTCCCTAAATCTCAAAGTGTCTCTCATCTTCCAAACTCAGTAGATCCACCTCCAGTCCATACATACCAGATTTTTCTTTTCCCTTCAGCATTTTGTATCAAAAAAAAATTTTTTTAATGAAATTGAACATCCTCTCTTCATTTAGTAGAAAGGCAGAGAATTTCAAATTCCACATAGAGATACAAAAAAAAATTAAGAAAAAAAGAAACTGAAAAACTAATTCCTAGCAGAAATAATAACTAGTAATATAGGGCTAGTTACAAAATAAAAATCACTCATTTTCCCATATATTAAAATTAGGGGTTGAAAATTCTACTTCATAGAAACTTTCCACTCTTCCTCAAAGACTCAACAATTAAAGGATGTTAATCTTTTTCTAGTTAACCTATGAATCCTAATCTAACTAGAGTCCAATCTAAACAAGGCTTAATAAAGACACTGACAGTGTGATTCCAAGTTCACTTAGAAAAAAAATCATTTGAGAAGAGACAAGAAGCTTTTTAGGTCCTAACAGTCACCAGGATGTATTACAGAGCCCTATTAAATGGGGTAGTATGCATCTAGTGGTAAGAAGCAAAAGCAAACAGCACCACTAAGTCTACAAAGAGAAGAAGGGAACGGAATTAGTAAATCAATTACACATTTAGGTGACTGGCATATATTTGAAGAGGTTAAACTGATCTCTTCTACTAAACTCTTATACTAAACACCAAGCAAGTATCTTTACATAAAATCACAAAACACATGCTCAGCATAAATGAGAAACAGTATTTCTAAGTACTGCTCAGTGTCAGCTTAAAAATAACATACTATCGCCATCAATCAATGCATCTTTAAGAGAGAATCTGGTGATTACTAAATCCTACAGTCACTATGAAATTATGAGTATTAGATAAGTAACTGTAACTGTGTAGTCTTTTGCCTACTATTTGGCAGTACAAAATATTTTAGAATGCAAAAAAACTTTTGAGAGCTGTGGCTGGCACTTCTCCATCACTTAATCTAACTCTGCACCTTAATCACGATGGTCGCCTCCCTGATTCCAAGTTGAATTCACACTCCAGGCCCAGGTTTAAATGTCACTTCCTCAAGCAGTCCCTACTCCTCCAGGGCCTGGAATCACACTGGAGTTGTAGAGCTGCTCATTCGCTTAATGTCTGTGCCCCCCCTCCTCGTATCACAGGCCTCAGAGAGTAAGACCACGGTCGGTTCTGACCACTACACATAAACACATAAGCCTGACACATGTGACATGCCTACCATTCCAGCATATCATATGAACTGACATATAATATTTACACATCCTGTCCGGATACACCCTTAAAAATACAAACATGCCCCCACAAACCCCTAAACAGAAGCTGCCGTTAAGGTAAGAACAACTCAACCTATAGACATGAAAAGAGCTCTAAAGTCATCTTTGGCACTCAGCTAACCGCTAATGTTCCTTAACCAACCCTACAACTTCTGCGATCAACCTTTCACACAGGTGCATTGAATCAATCCCTGTTGGCATTCCCTAAGTATCCAAGGAGCCAAGCCCTGCGGCTCAGTCGCTGTGCTCCCCACTGACACTTCCTCCCCTCCCCCACACACACTTTGCACTGTCCCCGGTTGCCCTGTTTCTCTTGATCACTTCCTCAGCCCTCCAACATGAACCGTTGACTTAATCAATGCATACGTTACCTACCGGCAAGGAAGACACCGGATCTCTGGAATCGACATAGACATCTTTCAGTAACAACAGCAGCTCGTTATCTTTTCTAGAAACTTCCTCTTTGATTTCTGGGTGCTCTAAGGAAAGAAAAGAAGGCCACAATTTTTATTTTTTTAATAAGGAAACTGTCTCGAAACCCGTACACGCGTAAGGCGATTTTAAATTTTTCAAAAGAAACAATCATCTGGACAGCTAGGAGAGGGGACACCCGGCGGGGCAAGGGGAGCGCGCGCGCTGCCGCGAGCGCCGGGATGCCAGGCGCCGCCACCGTGCCCGCGCGGGGACGACCTCAATGTCACGGGAGGCCCGGGAGGGGCCGCACTCACGGCTCAGCTGCTCGCGCAGGAGGCTGCGGGTGGACGGGTGCTTGGGGGCCGTGGAGGGCTTCATCCTGCTGAGCTCCCGCTCCGCCCGGTTCTCCAGGTTGAAGTTCCTGAAGGCGCGGGTCACGCGAGCCCCCATCTCTACATCACGCTGCCCGCGGTTCGCCGCGCACGTGGGGGCGGCGCCGGCGCGGGTGCCCTCCGTGCGCACGGAGCATGCGCGCGCCCGGGGTCGGGCACCGGGAAGCCGCCGAGGACGCGCTCGTCGCCCCCTGGCGGCCCGGAGGACGCACGCTCGCCGTCGCCGGCCTGCCGTGGGCGCGCCTGCGCGGACCCGACGCGTGTCGGCGTTGTCAGGGACGCTCGCGGTGAGGGAGCCGCGCGGCTGCAGCAACCCACGAGACCGCACGGTTGCAAAATTCCGGGTTGAGAAAGTCTAGGGCGGAGATCTTGCAACCCTTTCAAAGGGCAGTGCAGAGGGTCAAGGTTCTGAACTTAACCTGCCGCTGCTTTTGAGAAACGAAAATGAGGAATCTTTGTTCTCAGCCGCTTTTCCACTTTGACAGCTCTAATTGTCCTGTTTCTTGCCTGTGCACTCCAGTTTTTTGTTTTGTTTTCTTCTTCCACTATCTTGACACCCATTTCTCGGTCACATTGTTCCTAATGCTATGAATTTTAAGCTTTCTTTTCTTTCCACTAATTTGACCTATTCCTCCATGAGCACCGAATCACCCTGCTCTTCTCGGTCCCATTCCTCAGCTCTGGCGCCTCTCTCAGTCTCAGCAATCTTCAGAGAGCCTGATGTAACTTGTGCTTTAATAGTGTATTTGGAAAAAATAAATATATTCTTTCTTCCCTTCCCCTCCTCCTCCACCACCCCTTCGTTTCTCCCTTCCTTTTCATTTCTGAATGGATTCCTCTGATACTGATTTTAAGATTATTTAGAAATAGTGAAATCGACCCATAAAGAAATATTGTGACCGACCCGTACGTTTTTTTTAAGCCCACCAACAAGAAAATATGTTTCCTAATTAATAATATTTTTCCTAGACCGCAGTTGCAAAAACTTAGCCTGTTTGATTAAGTGAAATAGAATGGTTGTGTCTAACCAATTTAAAGCAAACGGGGGCGAGGGGGGATTTAATTTTCTAAATGACTATTATTAATTAGGCTGCACCACCATCATAGGGAAAAACATTAGAGAATAAAGTTATCACTGCTTATCATGAAACATTTCTCTGGTGACTGCTATAAGGAATATATTGGAAGGTGTAATATATAGAAGTGAAAATCTGTGTTCTCTGAGTTAATTGGTTATCCTGAAGGTGGCAGGCTGCTCTAAGATATTCCATCTTAGAGCTTTGAAGCAAGTTCGTACGTAATTCAGTGAAATTATTTTAAGCCAGTTTCTCTGGGTGCCAAGAAATGTCTGTTGGCTTCATTAAGCTTGTTGTGTGCTTTAAGAATTATAGTAGCAGTTCCATTCACTGCCTGCTAAAGTATTACAAAAGTGAAAATCTCATTTTCATGTGATTCCACCAAACTGAGGACGACAAGAAAGTAACCTTACACAGGAGTTTACCACAAGTCCAGGACAGCAGATAGCACAAAGTTAAAGATTTTTGGGTTTTCACATTCAGGCAGAGCTTAGATTTGACACTGGAAGAGCCATCCTCCAGTGCTTTGCCTCACCCTGGCTTGGCATTACAAAGTCCTCAAAGGCCAAAACAAGGCCCACAGACTCCAGCAAAAACCACCCTTGGCTGTCCTATTTGGTAATCATAATGGAAATAAATCCTGAACCATGAATGCATAATCCCAGCTCTTCTTGTCAAAATACACAAAATAACAGGAGATCTGAACTTAAGAATTCCCCTCTGGCTTATGTTTAAGGGTTGAAAGCAGGTCCCCAGGGAAAGTTGGAGGTATGCTATTCTCTCAGCCAAGTGTTGGAATAGGGCTGATAGGTGGTAATGAGTTATACTAATGAGCTCCAAGTGTTGCCGACACACTGAAATACTAGTTTTTTGAGAAGAGACATTTCCTTTTGCTTTGTTTTGTGCTGTATCCACACAAGATGTTAGGACAAAGTAGGTACTTATTTATTCTAAGTTCATTTTCAATTGCTGACTCACATGCTCTTTCCATTATTGCACCCAGGAAGGCTGGAACTTAGGTAGGAATTGTGTCAGGGATTTAAAATGCCGTCTGTCTTTGCTAGGCAATAGCAGCAGTAAGAGTCCCCAGGCAGTCCCTCCATGCTTCCCTCGCTGTGCGGCACTTTCCTCTGGTTGAAATATTGCCTCCTAAAGCAAGAAGGATGCTTAGAAGACTCGGGAAGTAAACAGACCTTACAAGTCTGGGAAAGTTGAAGCCTACATGATCCAGCAAGCCATCGGACAAGCCTGGGAGAGGCTTGGAGCTGTGGAGCTGCCTGCAGGTCATACACAGAGCTCCAGCATTGCTGTGGAACTGCCTGCAAATCATACAGAGAGCTCCAGCCCTGTAGATTAGAGGGGTTTTTTGGTGTAGCAGCTGCCCCAGATTCATCCCTACTCCTTTAATATATTCCTATAAGTAACCCCCAACAAATTCATCATCTTGCCAAGTTGGACTTTGGTGGAATTACTGCTTTCTTTTTTTATTGGTCCCTAGATAAGGTTAGTAGACATTTATTCATGTCTTCCCAAAAAGCGCCAGTTATTCACCATTCATCCTCCTCAGTTGTTCTCTCTGCCTAGACTCTTACCACTACACACCCCTTCCTTTGAACACACTTCTATGTCCTACAAAGCATTTCAGAAACTATGCTCAGGAAACAGGTGACTGGAGCACAAGAAAGACCCCAAAGGTGCTGCTATATTGGGCAAATTTCAGCCACTAGTGGGCCTCAGAAATGTATGAAGGAATGACATCCTCATGAGGTATTGGTGTTGAGAGAGAACCTCTCTGAAACCTGTACTATAGGCCAGGAGCCAATGGATTTGTAAGAACCCAATTCACATTTTATACAAGGTATGTGTGTGGGGGTATGTACATGTGTATGTACATCTGTGGATATGTACATCTGTGGGCATGTACATGTGAGTGCAGGTGCCTGCAAAGCCCAAAAGGTGGTGCCTGATCCCCTGCAGAAGGAGTTGCCAGCAGTTGTAAGCAACCCAATGTTCTGAGACCCAAACTCTGCAAGAGCAATACACTCTCTTATCTCTCCAGCGTTTGTGTGCAACTTTAAACATTTTCTGTTGTAGAACAGAACCAGCCCAAACCATATTTTTTTCATATCCATTTGTTCCTTTCCTTGCTCTCTATCACAGTAGACCTGGATCAGAGCAGTAAACAGTATCCATGCCAAAGCCTGAATGCTATCCTGTCTTGACATTTACTCCATCAAACGAATTAGTTCGTTAATTTTGAGTTCAGCCTCGCTGAAGCTGCCAGGACACAGACGGCTTACAAACAGTTTCTTTTCCATAATATAACATCTGTGGCCTTGAGCCCAGTTCCTAAACGCATCCTTGTTCCTTTGTAACCTCATCATTTGGGCTTCTACTGCCCACATTGCTCTCGGCATGCCTGTTTTCCTAATCCCCATCAAAATGGCTCATTGAGCCCTGCTTATAGTATTCTAGGGCTTTTTCTTTTTCTTGTCCCAAGTTGTAGTGTAGGTGGGGCTGAGACAGGAGCCTCAAGGGGAGTAGTACTTCCAAGTCAAAGCTGGAACAACTACCCACTACACCAAGTTCCAAATTCTTCCACGTTCTTCATCTAAGCTAATTTCAAGAACCCAAGAATCACAGGGTCAGGTTTACCCCAGCAATAACCCCGTTTCTTGGTACCAGTTTTCCATATGAGTTGCTTTTAATGTGACTGTGACAAAAAGCAACTTGCGGAAGCAAGGTTGTCTTTCCACTCACAGGGATATGTTTCTTCATGGCCAGAAGACACGGCGGCAGGAGAGTGAGGCTGGTCATACTCCATCCACAATCAGATAAATGCTGGTGCTCAGCTCATTTTCATTCAGCTCAGGACGTTCGCCCTTGGAATAGTGCCACCAACCTTCAGAGAGGGGCTCCTCACAGCAATAAATCCAATCTTGGGATTCCCTCCAGACGTGTCCGGAGAACCACCAGTTTCTAGGTTCTATGACGTGGATGATCAGAAACCAGCATTGCTCTAAATCTTTAACATCCCAGCTGACCACAATCCCAAAAGTCTAGTCAGCCATCATGTAGAACCTTCAAGGTAGGACTGAATTTTTTTCTGGGAGCTTCAGTTCACACTTAGAATTATCAACTGGCATTTATGTTCCCATGCAGGCACTGTCGTTACTGTCTTCATGACTGCTAACATTGGATTGGTTTCCTGTTCTTAGCAAGTTCTTCCAAAAGAATAGCTTCACACAATTAACTTAGCACCTCGCTTTTCTAGAGGTCAGACTCCCAAAGAAATCTGCTGAGGATAAAGTCAGGGTGTTGGCAGACTTTTCTTCCTCCAGGAAAAACTAGGGGGAAGTCTCTTTGCTTATTTGTGTGTTTCCACAGGTTTCTTGCATATCTTAGTAGTCAGCAGTTACATCACTTCACTGTAAACTCCTGAGTGGATAGGTCCGGACTGGATCCTCTTGTCTTTACCTCTCAAATACCAGTAGTCATGAACCACCATGCATGCCCAGTATACTTTCCACTGGTGTTACAGTAGGATTTTCTTCAAATTTACCTGTCTATCTCTCTACCAGTGTGTGTGTGTGTGTGTGTGTGTATGTGTGTACATGTGTACATGTTCATGCCATGACACATATGTGGATGCCAGAGAATAACTTTCAGGAGTCAGTTCTCTCTTTCCATCTCAGTGAGACAGAGTCTCCCTTGTTTCTTCCATATGGAGGTGGTGATTCTCTTGTGTCTGCCTCCATCTTCCCACGTTGCCTTAGGAGTTCTGGGGTTACAGATGCCATCACATCCAGCTTCCCACATGCTTGGTTCTAGCAATCAAACTCAGTTCATCAATTTGCACAATAAGCAAACCTTTAACACTGAGCTACCTCACCAGCCCTGCAACAGAATTTTCTGTGAATCTCAACAACTAATCCTAAAGTTCACCAGAGAGAGAAAACATGAAAAGTAGCCCATAAATCTCTGAAAAATTGAAATGAGAAGGACTGTAACATATCAGAAGATCTGCAGGGCTCTCTCAGTGGGCACTGAGAAA